ATTTTCAGACATTTTTGTCATTTTTTGGAATAAATCGTGAATAACTTTGGGTAAGGGTTCCGGCTGAAATTGATAGGAAACATTTTTTTAGTGATTTGGATTGTATACTAATTGTTGTTACAGTATTCTGAACTGTTGTTTCCAACTTAAGCAAAACTAGAATTTCTAAAAATGTCCTTGAAATTCGGTGAATCTGATTATGAGGCACCTGATTTGGTAACTGAAAACATTCACATCCGGCGTTTTTCGTCGGATTTCGGAGTTATTTTTGGTTATTTTGCAAGTAATATTGGGCAATATAGATGGCTTTTAACACATTTTAATGCAATAAAAATTTTTGGTCGGAGTCCCCCTTTAAAAGTTTAAGTTTTGAATTTTTTCTGGAATTATCCTGATAAATTTTCTGATTTTTTTTGAAAATTCAAACAATTCAAAGTTTCAAAGAATTATTATTCAGAAAAAAATTTGCAAATTCTCTACATCTTGGCTCACAAGTATTCAGCACCAAAACTCATCAAAAATGTGAACATTTTGTAATCAAAACAGAGAAACTGTCATTCCTGGAAAAGTGTGAATATTCCCAAAAATATCAAGATACATATTTAGTGGTAAGATATTTCAATTTTCTAAAAAAAATTTTAAAAAAAATTTGTTCAGTATTCCTGCTATAATTATCGAGCTCAGAATTTGTCGAAAGTGAAGAGAGAAAAATTTTTTAACGAAATATCAAAAGTTGAAACCATTTTTGTGAGTTTTTGAACTTTTTTGAACTTTTTAATGAAACTTTTCAGTCACTTTCCGTCGGTCTACTCTCCACTGGTCTTGCTTTCTACTTCACTAGAAAATAATTTTGTAATAATTTTTAATTTTTTAATATTTTGAAATAAATTATTTTGCGAGAATGTGTTCACTGATCTTTTTTTCGATCTTATCACTTTAATTTTTGATTTTGGTCGATTTCGCAAATTTGATAATGAACTTTTTGTCATCGAGGAGCACAATTTCGTCTTCATCTCCAAGACGACCGAGTCATCCTGACCGGATCTTCAGTCACGAGAAATGCCCCATCAATGACTCAGCTGCCGCGGATGAATTGTTTTGTTTTTTTTGTTGTCCTAAATTTTTTTCGTCAGGAAAATGGCTTTTTATCTCAACTTTTGCCTTTTTTCGCTCGGTTATTTTAAACTATATTTTCTGGAACATATTTTAATGTGTTGTGCACGTTTTTGCAAAATTTTAGGTGAATTTTTTTTAGGAACAACAGAATATTCAAAGTTCAATTTATAGAGAAGACAGTAGTTCTATGAACCGACAAAAATACGACGATTTTGAAGATTTTAAATTCGGAGAAAACTCTGCAGGTAAGATAATTTTTACCCTTTTCAGCTTAAAGGATTACGCAAAAACGATGCAAGGGATCACCGAAAAAAACAAGAAAAAAAGAGATGATAAATTTCTCTGATAGTGAGCTCAATTTACACAAGTCGGGAAGGTCTTACTTCCGGAAACTGCGTCTCGCCGTGAGCAGGTTAGTTTTCGAAAGTCTGGTGGACAAAGAAACATGCGTGAAATTGCAGGCTCTCAACCGAATGTGGCATGACCCGATTAAAATGATTCAAAAAGTTTGGATTTGTTGTATAAAACAACTGCTCTGATGAGTTTATTTGGATTTGCAAAGATTTGAGTACGGAAATTATATTGAAATGGCTCAAGTAAGTTTATTATCGACATCACAAAGCCAAACACTTCTTTTTTCAGTTAAATCAACATTAATTTCATAAAGAATATCCATCTTATCTACAACCGGAAACTATGACAAGAGAATTTTCAAAATCGAAAATATGGACGAGCGGAAGAATTCGACTTGAGATTTTTTTCATAAATTTTGTCACTTTTTCTTATCTCATAGGTCCCATTATTCTCTCTGATCTCATCGTTTTCTTTTTTGCTGATCCCATTCATTCCTTTGTGTCACACCCCTCATTTTCGTTCCGATTTCCTATTTCTACATTTTAATCAATGTTTTTCTTTTTCTCATACTTGTTCTGTTTTCTTTTTTAATAAATGTTATTATAAATAAAGTGAATGGCATTGAAAAGAAAACAAAATTTGAAAAGCGTGCTACGATGCTCCGAAATCCCGCTGGTCTGTTCGGAATTAGATCTAATTCGTTCGTAGTTCATTCGGTGTTCGTTCGGAATTAGATCAGCTAAATTCTGTATTAGATCATGCCACTTCTATTTACGAACGAACCCAGATCTAATTCCGAATCAAGTCAGATCTAATCCAGAATCGTTTACCTGAGTTGTCTTTTTTCTGAAAATTCAATAAATCAATAGCTCTTTTTTCCTTGACAAAAGATTTTTGGCTCTTTTCTACTTTAGAGGTCCCAAAAAAATTAGCGGTCCCAAAAAAGTTTAGAGGTCCCATAAAAAATAGAGGTCCGATATTTGAAAAACGCACAGATATTGGAATAATGTACAAGAATTTGAACTGTGTGACTAGTTTGAGTTTTGAGGTCTTATAGGATAATATGACTAATCCTAACAATTTTATCTCCAATTCTTTTGCATCTGGCTGATGAACCCCAATTTACATATGAAGAAAGTTTCGGCAATACAGTAATGACTCCGTGATTATGCTGTCTCTCAGGCTTAGACAATTATCAGAAAATATGAATTCCTAAGCCTGTTAGAAGTATAAAATATATCATCAACAATTATTTTGCCATAAGACCTCAAAACTTTAATTTCTTATACAATTCAAATTCTAGTATATTATTCCAGTATCTGTGCTTTTTAAAGTTTTGGACCTCTATTTTTTCTTGGGACCTCGAAACTTTTTTGGGACCTCTGTTTTTTTCGAACCTCTAATTTTTTTTGGGACCTCTATTCTTTTTTGGGACCTCTAAACTAGAAAAGAGCCAGATTTTTTTCATTATTTTTAACGAAATCTTTAACGACCAAAACGTGATTTCTGTGAAATTCAGCTTCGGAGCCCATTTTGTTGATCTTATACTTCCTGATATCATATAAGTTACATTTTTACATTAAAATTTCAATCATAACCTTTTCTCAAGCGAACCAAAAATCTCTTTTCTTGTTTTCAACATGACAAAGTTTCTTGTTTTCTCAGAATCTCCCAATTCAAATTACAGGCTTTCCAGTTTGAAGAAAGAGCGTAGTTTAGGAGTATAAAAAGAGTAGCGGAGCTCTGAAAAATTCATTTCTTCTTCGGGCTCTTTTTCAAGATGCCCAAGACAACAACTCCAAAATCTTTTGTGGACAAAAATCCCATTATTTATTTTCCTGTGAGCAATTTGAATGGATTGAGCAAGGAACAGAGAGCGATGCTAGAGCTCCAGATTATGCTTGGGATAGATTGGACAGAAATCATGAAGCTTTTAATTGCGTATGCCATCACTTTTGTACCATTGGCCATTTGTCTTTTTTGTTGCATGTGCTCGTATCTGACGGCTTTCACTAGGAACCTCAGGGATCATGTAGGGGTAAGTGCACTATCTCGTTTCTAGTGATAGATACAAAAATGTTGTCAATTGACGAAATGATTTTGATGTTTTGATAATTGTTTTGGCAGTTGACCACTTTATCGTGTTTTTTACAAGAAACGAGATAAATAAGCTCGAAGACAGAGGCTCTTTCATACGCCTCCAGCCCAATTATCTAGGCTCTCAGAGGTATCAAAAAATGTTAAATTACAAAACTATTATATCGTTGGCCACAATTTTCTTGTAGACCACTTTTTTGCATGTTCCCTAGCAAATAAGCCATGTACAATACCGGTTGATAAGATAGACAAAAACTGATTTTTAATTGATTTTTGGCCATTTTAACCCTCCTTAGGAGTCTGGAGCTTGGATGTCAAATGTCAGATCACTTTGAAAGGTGCAAAACAGATCTAGAGTGAAAACTTTGCATTCCCAGAATTATTTGAAAATTCCTATTTGTTTAGCTTTTTCTCAAATTTCTGAAAGATACCTCTGTTTACATGTTTTCAGTACAAAAACGAGTCAAAAAGGAGCATCTTCCAGAATTCGGCAAATAACTGAAAAACTAGGAATTTTCAAAACTTCTGTGAATGCAAAGTTTTCAATCTAGGTCAGTTTCACACACACACACACATAATGTTCAAAGTGATCGGAGACTTGATAGCCGAGCTCCAATCAAAATGACCGAAAATCAACAGAAACATCAATTTTTGTATATCTTATTGACCGGTACTGCACGTCATCCGCCCTTAGCAACTCAACCAAAACTACCAAAATTATGTCTACAGTTTGATAATTGAAAACGGAAATTTCAGTGTACTTTAGACTAAATTATAGATACCAGTATGTTTATACATAATTGCTTTGTTTATGAAAAAAAACTTGAAAATTTTAGTGACATTTCAAGAACTTTGAAAGTGATATCATTTGATAATAGCGGGTTACTAGAGTGTCAGAAGAAGCGACGAGTACGGTAGCTATTTCAAAACTGACTATGACGTTTTCCAGAGCCCGCTCTTCCCACTCATCATTTCCTCCTACCGAACCATCAGATACCACTATATAGGTTTCTTCGTTTTTGGAATCGCTGGAATCGCGATGTCAATTGGAAGTCAAGTGTAGTTAGTTCTGAAAAAGGTGTTTAATATTTTAGCTCTCGTTCTTAAATTTACAGTCTCGCAGTATTGTTTATGAGAGTTTTTGTCTTTCTGGCATATGTTCTTACTGTGTACGTGGCAATGTATCAAATAGTCATTTCGATCGTCTCCATTCATCGATTCATCAACAGTCGTCAATCTCCGGAACTCCGAGGAGAGCTGACACGATGCAATGTGTTCTTTCTCATCATTTTCATGACCTTCGTGGTGCTTTTCAAAGATATTGGAATGGGCGTCTGGATGATGATTCTTGTTCTTGACAATGATTCGAGCACAACAACGATTTATACGTTTACGACGTACTACTCGGTCAGTGAGTGGCTCGTAGCGTTTTTAGCATCTTATAGTAAATTCAGATGGTCTACGTCACCCACCAAATCCTCCTGTTCATCGCCACAATCTTCCAATTCTGTATCTCCGAAGCTCCGAAATCCCACTCCGAATACTGCGTTGTCACCCACACAAAGTACATTGGACTCGTCAAAATGGTAATTTTTGAAAAAAGTTTTCGGGTCTCACAAATCCCTATTTTTCCAGATTCTCGGCGCCATCTGTTTCGCATGTTATCTTCTTAAATACGAGACCGTCATAGTCAGTATTCTTCTTAGAAATGATTTTTTTTGTGATCTGTCTACTTTCCAGGCGTCCACTATCTTCTTCGGAGTCGACATCTTCCTGGTACCAGTCGTCATTCAGATTACTGAAATTCGCGCCAAACCAAATGTGATCATCCCAACGGAAATTCAAAAAGTGCCGATGAAAGTCTAAATGCGGAATTATGGGAATCATGTGAAATTGAATAAAGTTATTTTGAGAAGCTTCAGAGAAAATTCCGAATTTATTTTGGCCATACTGGCATTCCAAAAATGTTTTCTTGGTCTGATTTGTGATCACAATTCCGTCCGGGTACACATTTTATTCTTGAAAATTGGAAACAACTATTTTTTTTCTTTTCCAATCGGCATTTCTGAAATTCGGGTGTCTTTTTACGCACAGAGCCCACTACTTCTCAGAAATGAACGTTTTTAAGAACGTTTTCAGTTACAGTAAGGGAATGTGAGGAAATTGCGTATCCCTAGAAAATTTTCATTTTTGAAGTATCACCTGCAACTTTTCTCTTCATAATTTTTCGGAAAATGTAATAAAAACACCTGAAATTTGTTTATCTTTTTTTCCTTGACAACAAATTTTTTTAAAAAGGCGTTTAGAGTTTGATTGCCGCCGCACTTTGGGTAACCATGGAAACTTAAAGTCATCTGAAAAAAGTTTTTGATGCTCGAAAGGATTTGAAATGGGATAGCAATCGAGGAAATGGAGGAGCTGAAAAAATATTTTAGGAATCAAATGCATTCGGTTCGAAGGGCCTGTTACAGTAATCCAAATGTTTGTGCTTCAAAAGGGAGCCTTGAAAAACATGAATATCGGAATTTCGCCCAAGGAGTTGAACTTTTGGAGTTTAACTATTAGATGTGGCGCGTTGCTACCAGCTGAGCTACGATGGCGGGTTATCATATACTTTCTGATGTTACCTACGCGGTTATCATATACTTTCTGATGTTACCTTTTCATATTCAAATTTCAATTACAAGTTTTTCTTTTAAGAACCAAAAGTCATTTTTTGTGCTTTCAGCTGGAAAAAAGTTTCTTGTTTTCTCAGAATCTCCCATCTGAAGTTGCAGGTGTGTCCGTGTAAAGAAAATGTGGAGTGTAGCGGTATCAAAGCTAGCTCTAAAAGCTTATTTTTCACTTCTGGCTCCCTTTCTGAAGATGTCCAACACAACGACTTCAGAGCTGATTGTCGACAACAGACCGACTATTAATATTTCTGTAAACGATTTTAATGGATTCACCAGCCTACGAAAAGCAATTTTAGAGCTCCAACATGGTTGCAATGAATGAAGATAGGACCAAGAAGGTCCTGATCTCGTATGCCGTTACTTCTGGACCATTGGCAATCTGTTTGATTTGTTGTCTGTGCTCGTACAAGATGGCTTTCACAAAGAACCTCAGAGCTCATGCAGGGGAAAGAATATATGTTAATGGTGAATCGTCATAAAAACCAAATGTTACGGTATGCAGGACAGAAGTTTAGACAGAGTTTTAGAACCTGTCATTTTGCAAATGACGATTTTTCAGAGCCCACTCTTCCCACTCATCGCCTACTCCTACCGAAATATCAAGTACCTCTATATAATGTTCTTCGTTTTTGGAATCTGCTCTGGAATCTATTTGTCAATGGGAGTTATTGGGATGTAAGTTTGTAAGGGGTGTTTGATAAAAATTTTCTCAGTTGATCCCATTTTGATATCTTCCATAGCAACCGTTAGTTCAGAGTTAGCTCTCATTTCTTCATTTTACAGCCTACGCATATTTTCTCTCGAAATGTTTTTCGGTATGTCGTGGGCTATTACCTTGTACGTGGCAACATACCAAATGGTTATTTCGATCATCTCCATTCATCGATTCATCAGCAGTCATCAATCTCCGGAACTCCGGAGAGATCCGACACGAAAGAATGTGTTCTTACTCATCGTTTTCGTTGCCCTTTTGATGATTTTCAAAGATATTGGAATTGGCGCTTGGATGTTGGTTCTTGCGTTTGGGAAAGATTTTAGACTGGAAAAACTTACTACGGTTATGTTGTACTACTCGGTCAGTATGGGTTAAAATATTCTCTATACCGTGCCGCTTTAGGCAGAGCTATGTCGTCGCGGAATATTTTTTGAAGAATTTTCAGCATTTTAGCATTTTCCAGCATTTTGGCGTTTTAGCATTTCAGCGTTTATAGTATTTTTAAACACTCAACGCATCACGCATCGTCTTACTTATAGTAGATCAACCTTCAGGTGGTCTACATCACCCGCCAAATCCTCCTGTTCATCGCCACAATCTTCCAATTCTGCATCTCCGAAGCACCAAAATCTCACTCCGAGTATTGCGTTGTCACCGACGCAAAGTACATTGGACTCGTCAAAATTGTAGAATTTTAAAATTTTTCTTCTCTCACAAATTTCTTTTTTTTTCAGATTCTCGGTACTATCTGCTTTGCAAGCTATCTTCTCAACTTCGAAATCACAATAGTTAGTATTCTTTCTTTTAATCATGTTGAGATTACTGTACTTTCCAGGCGTCCACTCTCTTCTTCGGAATCGACATGTTCCTGGTGCCAGTCGTCGTTCAGATCACTGAAATTCGAGCCAACCCAAATGTGATCATCCCGACGGAAATTCAACTAGAGCCACTGATCGTCTAAATTTGTGATTTTGGGAAGAATGTGAAATTAAATAAAGTTACTTTAAATTTGAAAATTTGTCATTCAATGAAACTTTTGCTCTTGGTTTTATTTAGGGTCACAACTCCTTCCGTGTACGCATTTCATTCTCGAAACATCACTTTTTTGTTTTCCAATCAGCATTTCTGAAAATCAGGTGTCTTATTACGCACTTGAGTGGAATTCGTTTGTACATTGTTGATGTTTTCTTTTTTTTCTGAGTTTTGAGCATTTCGAATATTTGCTGACCAACTATATACAGTGATTATTACAAATTTTTTTTGGAAAATTCTAGGGTTGCAACCGACTTAACTACGACACTCCGATATCCCGCATTACCAAGACTCCTCGATCCGACTTGTGGTTTTCAGTTACAGTAATCCGTGGGGGGGGGGGGGAATTTTTCTCTAAGCCTTGCTCTGTTTTTCCTTGACAACGGATGTTTTTGAAAGGTGTTTCCTTGACAACGGATGTTTTTGAAAGGTGTTTAGTATGATTTCAGCAGGTCCCATTTAAAGAAATATGTCGCATTTTTGTAACCATTGAAGCTAAAAGTCAACAGCAAAAAGTTTGTAATGCATGACAAGATATTGAAAAGGAACAAACTTTTCAGATTGATGCAAATAGAGGATCTTAAAATAGATTTTCAGACATTCGATATGAGCAATGACGCATTTTTTTCAGAATTCTAAAACGCAAACGCATTTTCTGCATATGAATTGAAAAACCCAAATTTGGAATGTAGAATCAGTTTTTTGACTCTAAGGACCAAAATTTATTTTGACGAATAAAAAATGATTAAATTCATTTTCCAAGGAGCGCGGACATGAAAAATATATTTTTCGAAATTTCGTTGCCCCTCGAGGCGTTCAGCTTGAGCTTGCTCAGCGTGGCACCTCCAACCGTTGGAGCTGCCACGATGAACTGTGAAGTTGGGCCAATATATATGTAAACGGCACGATAGCCACTAGTTGAACATCCATCACTGTATACCCTCCCGTTCGAATGCATTCTCTCGCTTCGCCTCATGTTACATTTTCAAAAAATTTCTGATGTTACATTTTCATATTCAAATTTTAATCATAACCTTTTCTTTCAAGAGTCAAACATCTCTTTTTGTGTTTTCAACTTGACAAAGTTGTTTGTTTTCTCAGAGTCTCTCATTTTCAATTACAGGTGTTTCGGTCTGAAGAAAAAGTGTAGTTTAGGAGTATAAAAAGAGAAGCGGAGCTCTGAAAACTTCATTTCTTTTTTGGGCTCTTTTTCAAGATGCCCAAGACAACCACTCCAGAATCTTTAGTGGAAAAAAGTTTCAATCATCTTATTTCTGTCAACGATTTGAAAAGCTATAATGGATTGAGCAAGGAACAGAGAGCGATACAAGAGCTCCAAAATATGCTCGCCGCAGAAATGGAGGGTACCAAGAAGCTCATAATTGCGTATGCCATCACTTTGGGACCACTGGCAGTTTGCCTCATTGTTTGTATGTGCTCGTACCTAATGGCTTTCACAAGGAACCTCAAGGCGCATGCAGGGGTAAGTGCTCTATTTCGGTTCCTGTGAGAGATACCAACATGCAGGCAAATGGTAAAATGTTTTTGATATTTTGATGAGTATTTTCAAGTGACCGTTTTTCGATATCTTTAACAGAAGACGAGAAAATTGACTCTAAAGAAGTTTGAACGTCCTTAACAACCTATGAAAACTAATATAATTTTTCAAATGTTCAGTAAAGTCTATTATTATTGCAAAAGACTGATATTTTGGTGTACTTTTAACTAAAATATAGATGCCCAGTATGTCTATACATACATAATTGTTTTGTTTATAATTTTTTTTTGAAATTTTGACATTTGGAGACTTTTCGAAAATTTAGAAAGTTACATCATTTGGCAATAGCGGGTTACTAGAGTGTAAGAAGAAACAGGGGTTACGGTAGCTATTCCAAAACTGACTGTTTTTCAACCGGACGTTTCAAAACTGGACAATTTTCCAGAGCCCACTCTTGCCGCTTATCGCCCACTCCTACCGTACCCTCAAGTTCAACTATATCAGTTTCTTCATGTTTGGAATCTGCGCAGGAATATCGATGTCAATGGGAAATTTATTGTAAGTTCTGAATAGAGTGTTTGATATTTTGAAAATCAAACAAGTTGTTCCGTAATTGCTTTATTTGAAGCCCTCATGCGGGCACTTTGAGGTCAATTATCTCGGTTCGTATGAGAGATTTCAAAAAGTTGCCGACAGATAAAATGCTGGTGACATAATGATAAATAATTTATCAGTTATTCACATTTTCAGGTTTTTCACAATAACCAAAATACAATAATTGAATCAAAGTTGCCTCTCATTTTTTTTTCAGCCTCGGCCAAATCTTTCTCCAAATGTTTATCATTTTGGCATTGGCTATTATCTGGTATGTGGCAATGTACCAAATAATCATCTCGATCGTCTCCATTCATCGATTCATCAACATCCGGCAATCTCCGGAGCTACGTGGAGAGTTGACACGATGCAATGTGCTCTTTCTCATGATTATCGTTTTTCTGTTGGTGATTTTCAAAGATATTGGAATGGTGATTTGGATGGTGGTTCTTATGGTTGGAGGAGGTTTCAACATTGAAATATTATTTACGATTATGATGTACTACTCGGTCAGTAAGGGGAAGTTATGGGACAGAATATTTGTGCTTCACCGTGCCGCTACAGACAGAGCTAAGCGGTCGCAAAATTAGTTTTTCAGCATTTTTGACACGCAAAGCATCACTCGTCGCCTAACGTATAATAGCTCAAACTTCAGATGATCTACATCACCCACCAAATCCTCCTGTTCATCGCAACAATCTTCCAATTCTGTATCTCCGAAGCTCCGAAATCCCACTCCGAATACTGCGTTGTCACCCATACAAAGTACATTGGACTCGTCAAAATGGTAAGCTCTTTTTTTTCTGGGCACATAAATCCCATTTTTCCAGGTTCTCGGCGTCATCTGCTTCGCAAGCTATCTTCTCAACTTCGAGACCACCATAGTTAGTATTCTTTTTCAATTATTTTTTGAGATTACTGTACTTTCCAGGCGTCCACTCTCTTCTTCGGAATCGACATCTTCCTGGTGCCAGTCGTCATTCAGATCACTGAAATTCGGGCCAAACCAAATGTGATTATCCCTACGGAAATCCAAAAAGAGCCACTGAACGTCTAAATTCTCACTTTTCGGAAATGTTGAATTGAATAAAGTTAACTTGAAAATGCATATTTTGTTTATTCTGGAAAGCAAAAAAATATCCAAAAAAGTTTCAGATCTATTTTTGTCATTTTGACATTTCAGAAAATGTTCTATTTCTGTTTTATGATCACAACTCTTTCTGTATACGCATTTTGTTCTCGAAAATTGGAAAAATCATATTTATGTTTTTCCAAACGGCATTTTTGAAAATTCTGGTGCCTTATTACATACGTAAGTGTAATTCGTTTGAATTCCTTTTTTGGGAGTTTTTTGTACATACCAAATATTTGGGGACTAATTGTAACTGAAACGGATGTCAGTAAGAATCGACCTTCCTAAATAAAATTTCCAAAAGTTTTCGAAAAATAATAAAAGTTCATTCCCTAAGGGTTCCGTTCGGACGATCTCTGGAAATTTAGCCAACCAATATCTGGAAATTTAGCCGACCGACCAATCGCCGACTAAGCCGACCGACTTCTGACCCATCCGACCGACGGCGAACCCAGCCCGCCGACCGCAGGCTCAGCCGAGCAGCAGTGGACTGATCGGTGCTAGGTACGCAAACACTCTCTGACATATTGACGCGCAAATTTACAAATTCGGTCCGCTCGGTCGGATGGCGGACTTTCCACCAACTGAAGTCGAAGCTTTATTCTTCACAGCGTTCGACTTGATAACGACACTCCGCATTGCTCGTTCTTTAGCAAGATCACTGTACACGCTATTGTCTATTAAAAACAATCGCACGAGTGAACGCTCTCGAAAACCTGTAGAGGCGCTGTAGAGACGCAGGTTTTTTACTCGTTTACGTGTGCGATTATTTTGAATAGACAATACAAATATTCTTTGGATTATTGTATCCTTAAGGCTTCCACTCCATTTTAAAGCATTGACTTCGTTTAGCTTACTTAAATCCAGGCAAAAAAGTCTCAAATGGAAATTCAGGCTTCTTATAACAACTTCTTCGTGATGTCTTTGAACTTTAATTTAATGCACCAATCTGTTATTTGGGATTGTTTTGCAATCAAAGATTACCGAAAGCTTGCATTAGGTGTAAAAATAGTCATGTTACAATCGTCATTTTATTTACATGAAACCATATTGAATGTTGTCATATTTATTGGATACAGTCTCCGCCTTTTGAGAATGACGAATTTATACATGTATATAAATCTTGACCGATAACTTTAACCAGAAAAAATGGTGTGCACCACGAAGGACCCCTACAAAAAGAAATCCGATGTCAAATCCTTCTTTTTCAAAAAGTTCAACAGTCTCTGTTACGCTATATTCAAGGTTTACGACCATGAGGTTTATTTTGCATCTGCTTGTATTATATTGAACTTTTTCCATTTTGCGGTTCTGTGTCGGAAACCAATGAGAACCTCACCGATTTATCCAATAATGGCATTTGTGGCACTGATGGATATTCTAGTAATGTTATACGATGTAAATCGATTGGCAGTGGAGATTGTGCAAGAGCACACCGACTGTTTCTCACTTGAGGAAGATTTTACGGTTCAGCAAATGGAAGTATTCTGGGATTGCTTCAGAAACTATGCTCGTAGATGCTCCACGTGTCTGAGCTTCTGCATAACACTCATTCGAGTTTTGGTGATTAAGTATCCATTGAACAACGCATTCTCCAAACCATCCACGGCTATTTATTTCATCATTGGAGTTATTTTATTATGTGCTCCAATTCATTTAATCGATCCATATAGGTTCAAAATCGATAGATACGAGGGCGATGTTTATTGGAATTGTGATGATTATCCAGTGGCATATAACAGATACTATTACATTTATGACTCTGAGTTTTATACAGGAAATGTTCAGATAGTGGCGAAGGTTCATAAGATTGCTGATGGAACAATCTCAAAGGTAGAGTTTTGGGTCTATCAAAGGAGTTGGATTTTGCGGGACCTAGGTTTATCAAAGGGTTCATATGGTTCCAATAAAACTTTATGGGCACCATAAGAGTCAGAAGATCTAATCAGAATTCAGAGGTTCTATAGGATCTGGCAAATGAATTATTAGTATAGCGAAGCAAATAGAAGCCTCCAGTATAGAATCATCAAAAAAGTTTTTTCTAGCTACTCCCCAGCATTTCTGCTATGATCGTCACTGTCATCCTAATCCGACAGATGAAACGAATGAAAAATGTTCAGAGCACTTCGAAATCTCGATTGTCTAGAACCACCTCAAAATTGGTCCTCGCACTAACCATCCCTTATTTTTTCGCCGTTTTGCCACTGGGTGTCGTTTGTGTTTTGAGTCCTTTCGGATTTTCAAGCAAGACCCCGGATCAGGGACTTCGTTTATAGTAGGTTTTATGATTCTAGGATTGCGGACTCAGCACAGTGATTGCAAATGCGCTCTATCGAATATTCTCAGTGGAGCGCAGTTGAAGCATGTTTCAACGTAATATTTCAGCGCTGTTCTTGGGGTGGCAGAACGCATGTTCTCGGTGATTCTTGTGATCACTACAGCTACACATCTGATCGTTTGCTTGTTGATGTCATCGGTTTATCGAAAAACTGCGAGATCGTTGATTTTTTGCTGGCCACATGTAATCTTGATAAGCTTGATTAACACAACAATTTTTAATTTCAGTCCCTCCGAATCGGAATTTCCATCAAATTCACAAAAGGGTCGCAGAATATACGTATGCTGAAGTTCGTGTCTATTCTGTTAACAATGCAAATTTACAGAGACGGCAAGCACTTCGGATCGATCCAGAACTCTTACCAGCTAAATTTCTCATTTTTCTGTCTTCTTTTTTACCGGAAAATCATTTATTTTAAAATTAAACATAAAGCACCTTTTGCTGGCTATAGTCTGTGCATTTTCGTCCATTGGAGACTTTTATCAGGTTAACAGCTTTCGCGGTCTGAAACTTTGAATGAAGATCGGATATCTTGCTAAAACTCACTTTGCATAGGAAAAATGACTTTGCGGTTTTTCGATATTCAAAGGACATGAGCAAGCAAATCATCATATGAGTAGCAGTAGTGATGACAAGAATCACCGAAAACAAGCGTTCACCAACCCCAAGGACGGCGCTGAAATAGCTCAAGTTATGCGGAAGACGTTTCGAATGCGCTCCAACGAGGATGTTCGGCACAGCGCATATAAAATAACGGAATGCAGAATTTAGAATTATTAAACTTACTACAAACGAAGTCCCTGATCCGGCAACTTGTTTGTGAATGAGAATGGACTCAAAACACAAACGACGCCCAGTGGAAAAACAGCAAAGAAATATGGAATGGTTAATGCGAGGACCAATTTTGAAGTGCTCCTAGACAATCGAGATTTCGAAGTGCTCTGTTTAGTATTCATTCGTTTCATCTCTCGGATTAGTATGACGGTGACAATGATGACAGAAATGCTGGGGAGTAACTGGAAATATTCTGATTTTGTCTTACCTTTGTCTTACTCTTACCTTTGAGATGGTACCATCGGCAATCTTATGAACCTTCGCCACTATCTGATCATTTCCTGTATAAAACTCAGAGTCATAAATGTAATAGTATCTGTTATATGCCACTGGATAATCATCACAATTCCAATAAACATCGCCCTCGTATCTATCGATTTTGAACCTATATGGATCGATTAAATGAATTGGAGCACATAATAAAATAACTCCAATGATGAAATAAATAGCCGTGGATGGTTTGGAGAATGCGTTGTTCAATGGATACTTAATCACCAAAACTCGAATGAGTGTTATGCAGAAGCTCAGCCACGTGGAGCATCTACGAGCATAGTTTCTGAAGCAATCCCAGAATACTTCCATTTGCTGAACCGTAAAATCTTCCTCAAGTGAGAAACAGTCGGTGTGCTCTTGCACAATCTCCACTGCCAATCGATTTACATCGTATAACATTACTAGAATATCCATCAGTGCCACAAATGCCATTATTGGATAAATCGGTGAGGTTCTCATTGGTTTCTGACACAGAACCGCAAAATGGAAAAAGTTCAATATAATACAAGCAGATGCAAAATAAACCTCATGGTCGTAAACCTTGAATATAGCGTAACAGAGACTGTTGAACTTTTTGAAAAAGAAGGATTTGACATCGGATTTCTTTTTGTAGGGGTCCTTCGTGGTGCACACCATTTTATTTCTCAAAATTGTGTTCAAGATTTGTGTTCAATGTCCATATTTTGGTATCGGAAAACTTGATCAAAACTAGGTTCGTTGGCAGCAGAAAACAAAGAAAATATGCGTACAAATTTTGCCACCCATGTGTTCAATGCATATTTTCACATAGTTTTTTAATCAAAAACACATATTAGGGATTTCTAAAAATACCCTTGATTATCTGTGTATTGCTTGATAGATCGAAAAACAAGAATTAGAAAAACACATTTTTTTAACTTTGATCGTTTGGGCATTGAGTATACAGTGTGAAAGTTGATTGAAGTATAAAATGTTAAGGGACAGGATTAACCAAACAGAGTTTATTTGTCCCAAAAAATCAATCCAACGGAAGAGCACACTCGACAGGCAAGCCAGTAGCCAACACTGCTTGTCCCTGACTCTTCACAGCGGCGGCAGTCTCCACGATCTTCTGAACCACCATGATCATTGTAGTGAACACTGTGAATCCCAATCCCTCGGTCAACGACACCGCCTGCGGAAACTGTGTCTTCAAGTCCTCCCGAATTTCTGGTTTCACATCACGAATGCTCATTGCGAAATCACGAAGGAGTTGAAGGTTCTGAGCAGCAGTCTCCCCTGCTGGGCGTTGATCGCCAAGAAGATCCACAGCCTTGACACGCCATTCGCGAAGCAAAGCTTGAGATTCTGGCTTTAAATTATTGAATTTGGTGTAGAATGTCGAGTTGAGAGTGGAGATTTTGTCGTGGACCGATGGAAGATAGGTGCGAACCATGTCTACGATTTCGGCGGTGGTGTTGGGACGGTTGATACGGTCTTGGAACCAGCTAGATAGGAAGTTTACCACTTCGCCTTTCCGGGTGATGTTCAGCTGGAAGAATTGTAATTTTGAAGTTAATTTCCATCTACATATGAGGGGAAATTTTTGAAAATGAATTATTTAAAGTTTGAGTAAAGAAGTGTCGTGGGCAAAGTACCGGGAAACCTGTATTACAAGGACAGCGCTCCTATTGTTCCAAGGCTCATCTGGAGGGCATTATATTAGTGGCTCTTCAATTAGAGTTGGTTCTTCTACTTTTCAGTCATTTTTTTCCGAAATTCTCATTTGGTGAATTCTTGTTCAAAATTAAAGGCAAAATGTTGCAATTTCACCAAAGTTGAGCAAAATTCGTGAGCAAAAAATGTTTCAAAAACTTTGTGTGATATTTTGGAATTTCTGGAATATTTTAAAGGTGGGGGACAGGAGATTTTTCGTAGGATTTTTGTAGCTAGGGTATGCATTCTACCGTGACGGTGTACAACGCTTAATGTCACTCTGCGTACAGCGGTCGTCCTCACCTTTATGAATGCAATCGGGCGCCGGCTGCCTCTTTGCCCGCGTGGCTCAGTCGGTAACGGCGCCGCACCGTCAATACTAGTCTCGACAAGTTCAACTCCTCGAGGGGCATATTTAAACGGAATTTCGAGAAATTATTTTTTTCATGTCTCCCCACCTTTAAACTGAAAACGTTCGAAAAACTATCAATTTCAAACTCTACATTTTGAAGGAGCCCCTTCTATCAAAGGAGCCCTTCTAATACAGGTTTGGACCACAGATAAAAGTAGGCACAGATAGGCAGTTAGAAATGAGCTTCTGAGGATTAGCAGACCAATTCTATAATATTCTCAACTCACATTGTCCATAGTTGTAATAATATCCAACGGCAACATGTCCTTGAAAATTTTCAACAATCCAATATACCCATCCAAAGTCTCAACAGTCAGCAGTTGCTCAGTCTTCTTAACCATCGGTTCCTCAACATCTTTCAGAACATTTTCAATTTTAGGACCTTCAGTTGGAGCGCAGGACCCAATAGCACAGAGAGAAATGAATAGGAAGAGGGACAGCTTCATTTTGGTCCAGAATATTCTTTGACTTTCATGCGGCCTTTTTTATAATGGCGGTATAGGGGTATCGTGTTACTGTAGGAAAATAAACTCATTTTGTTTTTCATTTATTTTTTGAGAAGATGATAAACAAACATATACAAACTTTTGATTTTTTGGTCCATAATATAAACAAAACGTACCGGTAATTTGCATGTCTATGAATTATACAAAAACTGACAAACAACAGATGCCACTTCAAAATAAGACTAATTGGAGACAAGCCAACACAAAATCAATGGTATCAATACCCAGAAATCCAAATTCAGCGTTTCAATATAAGAAAGATCAATGGCTTTTGGATAGAAATATTTGGGCATTTTCCCGTTGTACTTAAAAAGTCTCTTAAATTTAAAAGCAGCCTCATCGAGAGCTGGCATTGGCGAATCGGCAAAAGTTGAAAGAAAATGCTCAGCATTCGTTTGATAGGATTTGTGCTCGACGACTTCGCGGATATGATTTTCGAGATAAGATTCGGAGAGATGGAATTTGTTCAGAATTCGAGCAAATCCTTTGGATTTCGCAAGCCATGCATTCCTCATTTGCTCAGCAAACATTGGCATGAAAATTGATGGTGTGGCGGAGCAGACGGCTTCTTTGACACTGAAAAAATTCGAAGGTTTTTGAATTTAGAGGTTTTTCACTCATATAAGTCCCTAGTCCCTTTTTTTCCAGCTGCCAGCTGAGCTTCGCGGTCGTAAGAATTGGCTGCGTAGCTCAACTGACAAAGCTAGAAAATTCTAAAAATTCAAAGACATTCTCCTCACCTCTTCAATCCTCCATGACTCACAAACAACACCGTCTTCTCATGATTCAAAATCAGCTGCTGTGGAACCCACGACGACACTTTCACATGCGTCATTAAACCATCCGGTCTCTCGCCTTTCATACTCCAAACCACACGATAATCGGTTAGCTTGTTGAGAACGTTCAGGAAAATTTCAAATTTCTCTTCTGGTGCAAACCGCCAATCGATAATCGTTCCGAACGCGACAAGGATGGTTCCTGAATTTGAGAATTTGAAAGATTATTTGAAAGAATGAAAACCTTTCGATTCAGGAGCGTTCACAAATTCCGCCCATTCTTCTGTGAGTTGGTTTTTTGGAGGGTTGCAATACGTTCCAAAGGAGAAGTACTGAAAATTTAGAAATTAAGATGTTGAGGTTGTTAGGGATGAGCCGTTAAGGATACACAGTTCAGAGTGAGCAGTTGGGGAAAAGCAGTTGAGGACATTTAAAAATAATCATTTGAGAAAGAGCAGTTAAAGGAGGCCAGACATCAAAAAAGAAAAAGTTTTCCTGATATTTTGCATAGAGAACCCCCATGAGAAGTTGAACTCATGACAGGCAGGGGTACAGCGTCGATACCGGCTGAGCTACAGGGGCGCGAAGGCGCCTGCCGACCGATGACCTGCATAAGCGCGGCGCGATTTCGTCCCTCGAACTTTCCCCCGAAATTTTTGCTGTCTCGCCTCCTTTAAGGATGTACAGTTACAAGATGAGAAGTTAAAAATAAGCAACTGAGGATGAGCATTTAAGAATAAGCAGTGAAGAATGAGAAGTTGAGGATGAGCAATTAAGAATGAGCAGTTCAGAATGGAAAGTTGGGGAGGAGTAGTTGAGGAAGAGCTCTTAAAGATGAGCAGTTGAGATACACAATTTGGGATAAGCAGTTAAGGATGGACATTTGAAAATAAGCAGTCAAGGATGAGCAGTTGCGGATGAGCAGTTAAGAATGGGGATTTGAAAATAAGCCGTTGCGGAAAAGCAATTAACGTTGAGACCTTTAAGGTTGAGCCCTTAGGGAAGATACACAGTTAAGGATAAGCAGTTAAGGATTGCTAGTGACCGTAGCTCTTCTGTAAACTGTCAAAAACTCACATCATTTGTTCTTGCTCCAATTGGATACAATGGATCCGGCATATCAGTGAAAGAAAACGAGCTACGTCGATTGTAATCGTAGAATGAAAAGTATGGAAATGGAATAATGGATCTTAATGCCCATTTTTGTGCGAAACCAGCTACTCCGCCAGTGATAAACATTGATCCAAACCAGTCGACAGTTGAGATAACACGATGCCACCATTTGTCGGTTGTGAAGTTTGACATAGAGTAGGGAAGAAAGTTTGGGACCATCAGAGCGTAGTTTCTGAAAAATTGATTTTAGGATATTTTGAAATTTTATGAATTTTTGGAGTTTTCTGAAATTTTCTGAAATTCGCAAAACTGCTAACACGTTTTCAACTTCAAAAAATCCAGTGGACATCCGGACACACAGACACACCTACTGAATCCCTTGAAGGTTCCGTGGGCACTTTCAACATCACTTGAGTGCATCATAACATGTGGTTTTCCAGTAATTTCAGCCATTGCATATCCACATGGAGAAAATAAAGAATCCGAAAGAAATAAATCCCAATTCTCGTTGGCAATCTCCATCCATCTCTCCTTTTGATGCTTCAAAATTCGATTACATGAAATCGAACCGAAGAAAAATGGAACTGCTTGATGGACAAATGTGAATTCGTCTTCGAATGCGATTTTGAAGAAATCCTTGGAGATGAAATGGTTTTCGAACCCTGAAAATAATTTGGAGGATTCTGAATATCAAAAATTTCGAATTTCTAAACTTTTCAAAACTCCTGGAAATCATTTTTAGGCATATTTTCAAGTGTTTGAGTTTTGAAGCAATATATATTTTTCAGAACTTAAAAAAGCTTCATAAGAGTCTGAAATTCAAACAGTTTCCAATTCATAAATCTCGAAGTTTTGAATATTTTAATCTCTCTAGAACTTCTGCACATAATCAACATTTTTCCATTCTAAATTTTTTAAATAAAATTCGTTTAAATTTTTGAAATTCCCAATTTTTACAGAATTATTGAACTTTTTAAGACTAGTGTTTTATGAGTTTCTGTATTCTTGAGTTTCGAAATCTCATAGGTTCTCAGATTAAAAATCTAGGGAGTTCAAAAATTCGTAAATTCCGAAAGTTTTCCGAATTCCATGGAATCAGAAAGAAATCAATGCTCATAACTCATCACTTCGAAAATTCGGGAATTTGTAATTTTTTGAAGAAAATTCCTGAAAATTCAGAATCTCAGAAAATAAGAAATTTTAAAAATTCAAAAAAATCGAAAATTCAGATAATTAGATATTCAGAAATTAGTTGCCTGGGGCATCTACCCTCCAACCCCTTCTAAAGGTTCCCTCTAACCACGCAACGACACTCCGCTATCCCGCTCGGCGCGCGCACAGTTTAAAATTTAGTTTTGAGTGGTTGCGAGCTTGGATTTGGCTCGTGGTTGTTCTAGGGACTCTTTTAAGGATTTCAAGTGAGTTTGCTTGAGTTCTAAGCTTTTATTTGTTGTTTCTTTCTAACTTGTTCATAATAAACCGATTTTGTTACATTTCTTGTTGATTTTCTTCTATTTTATCACAGGAACCTGATACCCCGGACATACCGCGGGCAATTAATTAAAGAAAAAAAACGGAAAAAAAGTTTCACTAATTTTTAAAGTTCAGAGCAAATGAAATTCTCACCTGACATATTAATAAACCTCTCCGCCATCCCAAAATCCATATCCTTTTTATAAGTGGCCATTTCTAGAGCCGTCAAATGTCCGTCTTTTTGTAATCGATGCATTAGTGGAGTAATTGACGTTGCATGAGATCTGAAATGGAAGAGTTTTGCTGAATAAATATTTTTAGCCCACGAAAAAAACCATACCTTCCCTGATCCATCACTGTTAGAAGCACCTTGGCAGATTCACAAAGAAATGGTAGATTCAGAAAAATTATGAAAATCAAAAATAGGTTTTTCATTTTTACAGTTAGCTGAAATTTATTCATTTAGAAGTTGTTAAAAATAATGAAAAATCAATTTGAACAAGAAAAAAATAGTATATGAAAATGATAAAAGTGTAGACCAAAAATTTTTTGACCTTAAAAAACTTTTTGTTCTCTATATAAATCTAATCAAAACCTACAAGATAGAATTGTATGCTGTAGTCGTAGAAGATTACTATCTTTCACTGTCTGCGTCTTTTTTGATATTCTCCTTTTTCGTTTTTTGACAGTTTGAGGGCAGAAAATGGAATGAGGATGATAAGAAAAAATGTGGGAAAGTTGGACAGGAAAAAAATTGGGTAAATTAGTTGATAAGAGAATTTTGAAGTTATGAGATTCTGCGATTTTGGAATTTAGAAAATTGAGCTTCTGAAATGCTGAAGTTCAAAAGTTCTGAAATTCTTAAATTCTTGAAATTCAGAGATTCTGAAGTTATGTGATTGATGGATTCTGAAATTCTGAAATTTCAAAGGATTCTGAAATATTGAAATTCTGAGATTCTAAGATTCTGAGATTTTGAGATTCTAAATTTTTAGATTCTGGGATTCTGAGATTCTGAGGTTGTTTAGCTTCTGCTGAGATTCCGAAGGATTCTGAGATGGGGCGATTCTTAAATTTTTGAAATTTGAGTTTATGAAATTCTGCGATTTTGAGATTCCAAAAATTTCGAGAAATCGAATTCTGAAAACTCATCTAAAAGTCGGAACTTTTCAAAACAAAGACTAGATTTCTAAAAACGCTGATATTTGAAAAAATCTGAAATTCTACCGACTTCGTAATTCCTGATATTGAATTTTTCATCTCACAATATTAGACTTTTAAAGTTTTGCTCAAATTTTTGTTTTCAAGATTTTCGGTTTTTCCTTCACATCATACAATTTTTACTAGTTTTCCAAAAAAATTTGAAGTAATTCCGAAAAATGATAATAATCTTATCGCTTCTCTCTCTTTCTCTCTCTCTCTCTCTCTCTCTCTCTCTCTCTCTCTCTCTCTTTTCTCAATGGCGTCAACAAAAGTGAAACTACACGCAAAAAAATATTTCGCAATTTTCGGCAAGTTTTGTTGATTTTCTCCCACTCACTAGCTCTATTTCAATATGGACAAGGCACTCTTTTTTCAAAATTTTCCTTTTTTCTTGTATTTTACACTTTTTAAAATCATGGCCCTTTAAACTGTTTTTTATCCCCTCAACTTCAACCCGAAATACCTTAGTTCCTGTCAGAGATATCAAAAAGTGAACAACTGGCGAAATGTGTCTGATATTATGATAAACATTTTATTAGTTGGCAACTTTTTGATACCTTTCCCAGGAACCGAGATGAACTGAGCCAAAGTAAAAGTACAGATTTTCCAGAAAAAGCGATGCATACAAGAGTGTATGTTTCCGAGGATCGTACCAAAGTCTTTGTACTGTTTTACGAGGCCGCTTGTGTTTTTTCGAATTTCTATCCTACTGGGTTTTCGGCTGCTCCAAATATTCAGCAATTTTTGAAAAATGAGGAACTAGCAAAAGAGGAAGAGCTGAAAAAGAAGCAGACATTCAACTGTAGTGAGCAGTATTTTATGTAAGTTTTCTTGAATCCTAATTATCTTGGTTCTTAATTGGTATATCAAAAAGTGGTCAATTGATAAAACAATTATCATATTATCCTGCATATTTTATCAGTTGACTTCTTTTCGATATCTTTCACAGGAATTGAGATAAATTGGCTCGATGTAGAAGGACCCTTGAACCTAATTATCTCGGTTCAAAAATAAGATATCAAAAAATGGAAAACTTAGAAAAGATGTTTAAAAAAACAACACAATTTGTTTTTGCAATTTTCCAGGTACCACAAGGCGCTACTCGTTGGTGACGAACAAATCGCTGAACAAATTCTGAAAGAATATAATCCAATGAAAATAAAATTGCTAGGAAGGAAGCTGAATATGAGCAAGGAGCAGTTGGATAAGTCAGTCTTTTTTAAATTAGAATGGGAAATGCGCTCCGAGGATTTGATCCTAGACAAACCACAGCTTCGGAAATAGTACCATCTGGTAGATCTCAACTTTTTCTAAAATATCAATTATATTCCCGCACAAAGCATGTAGCCCTTTTCCAGATGGTCCAAAATATCTCGAGACGTCATGTTTAATGCTTGCCTTGAGAAATTTTCTCAAGATGAAACGTGCCGGAAAACACTGTTCAGAACTCATGGAATGACACTTGTCGAGGCATCTCCAACTGATAAAATTTGGGGAATTGGTAAGTCACTTTTTAGAAATTTAGCAAAAATTCAAAAAAAAAGTTCAGGTCAAAAAAGGTTACCATTCTAGAAAGTGATAGAAAAACCCTCCAACTTTGAGCCAATTTATCTCTGTCCCTGTCAAAGATATCAAAAAACGGTCACTTGATAATATGTTCATTATAATTTCACAAATATCTCTTATCAGAATTGAAATAAATGAGCTCAAAACATTATTCTGAATATTTCCATGTTTTAAAAACTGAGTTTTACCAGGGGTTTGGAGCTAACAATTCTTTTTTAAAACCCTTGAAAATTGAAAACAATTGTTATATTCAAAAAACTTTTTTTTTTGCAACTTTTTGTTGTGATGCCGCGCAATCGCGCTCTATCTAACTCGAAACCATGAAGATCTTTGAGCCAATTTATCTCGGTCCCTGTGAAAGATATCAAAATACGGTTACCTGATAAAATGTTCATTGTAATATTACCAACATTTTATTAGTTGACAAAATGTTGATATCTTTCATAAGAACTGAGATAGTTAATGTTTTTTCAGGATTAGACAAAAATGACAAACGATCGGAAGATGAACGAACATGGAGAGGAACCAATTGGTTGGGAGAGACATTGGACAAAGTTAGAGAGGAATTATGGAAAAAAGAGGAATTCCAAAAAGAAAGAGAGCAAATTGGGAAGGAGAGTATGGAGACAAGATGCCAGTTGTTGGAACATTTTCCATTATAATTTTGAAAATCAAATCTCAAATGAATTGTTTTAAATGAAATCAGAACTTTCCATTTTTCAAAGATTTAGTTTTTTTTTAGGTTTTCAGAAACTCTGAATATCATTCTTATAATAAATAAATGAAGTTGCGTCTCTTTTTCTCTCTGTCAGTTTGTCCGCAAATTTTGAAACGCTTGAAAATAAAATATAGTTTCACGTGACCTTTAAAAAAGTGAGTCGCGAAGCGACGAAAAGGTTAATTCCAGCTGTTTGAAGCGCCGGAGGCGCGGCAATCAGGCTGGCGTTTTCAATTAAAACTCGAAAATTTGAAAAATGCAAATATTTTGTAAATTTAAAAAAATTGATTTTCTGAAAATCTTAAATTCTGGTAAGTTAGTGATTCAGAAACCTAGACATTTGGAAAATGAAAATGTTAGAAATTCAGAAATTTAAAAGGAAAAACAATTTATTATTTATTTAGAAAATCAAAAAGAAGGTTCAAGTAGTCTCGTAGTCTATTTCATATCCTGCTTCTTCAGTTCTTCTTGGTCTTCTTGGTTTTATCTCCTTTTCTACTTGGCCCAGCCGTCTTCCTCGAGTTTGCATTCTTGTTTTTCCCAGTAGGAACCTCGGAACTTCCAGATTTTGTCCACTTCACAACTTTTACGCTTCCTTCTTCGTAGTTGTATTCTAGTTTCTCCAGCAGCCAAGGACGTACTGGAGGATGACAAATCCTTTTACCAAGAATTGGTGGCACGTCGGCTTCTGGAAATTTTCAAGTTTCAAAAAAGTTGTATATCAATTAGACAGTATTGAAATTTTCTTAAAAACTTGAAAAAAAAATCAATTTTCTAACTCAATTTTGAGTATGAAGTTTGAGAGAGCGCAGAGAAACGAGAGTGTCTGCCTGTCTGCGTCTCTAACCTTCAAACTTCAAATGGATGTATCTCAGTCTGAAAAAGTCCATTTTGAGTGGTTTTTCAGTGCATTTTAAAAGCGAAAACTTAGAAAATGTTAAATGTAAAATGAAGAGTTTAAAAATCACAAAAAATTGTTTTCAAAGTTTTTCTTACCTTTAACCAATCTCTGAGCATCTGTTTTTCTGTGTTTGCCAGGCCCTCGTTTCTGAACTGGGGGCGGTGCCTGGACCACGACTTCCTCATCCGAATCTTCTGAAACCTCAATTTCATGTGCCACGTCATCTGGAGTTGGAAAATCGGGCGCCTCAAAATCGTAGTCCCTTCCCACACTGCTGAGTCTTCTGGGGATATCTGGAATCTCAATATCCGCATTTTTCGGTTCCGACTTGGTAGACTCGGCCTCCAAGTAGCTGGGCTCATCTCCTTCGCGTATATGCGTGTCGCCGACAAGAATAAGTCCGGAGATGGCTCTCTGAAATTTTTTGTTCTATTTTGGAAATTCTGAGGATTGGATTTGTGAAATCGCAAAGCTTTAGATTTTCCCGATTTTAAAACTTCAGAATTTCAGAACTTTAGGATTTCAGAATTTTCGAATTTCAGATTTCCAGAATTTCAGATTTTCAGAATATCAGAATTTGACAGTTACAGACCTTGAAATTACCGAATTTCAGAATTTCAGAAGTTCAGATTTTCAGATTTTCAGAGTTTAAGAATTTCCGAGCTTCAGAATTTTAGAATTACAGAATTTCAGAATTTCAAATATTCAGAACTTCAGAATTTTTGAACTCCCAAAATCCAGAATATCAGAACTTCAAAATGTAAGAATTTCTAAATTTTCGAGTTTCCAAATTTCAGATTTCCAGAATTTCAGAAAATCAGAATTTCACAGTTTCAGAACTTTAGAATTTCCACATATTCAATTTCCAAATTTCAGATTTTCAGAATTTCGGTTTTCCAGAATTTCAGAATTTCAGAATTTCCAAATTTCAGATTTTTAGAATTTAAAATTTTCTTACCCTTCCAGGAACGATCGTGGTAGACATTGGCCTTCTGCGACCCTCGAAAACACTTTGTCCGATGTTTTGAGCTCCTCTGTTAGTTGCTCCCGATTGAATAATGGCTCCGGCTCCGGATGATCCTACAGATGCGTAGAAGTCCTCTTCAGAAGAAGAGTCACTGGAGACGTATCCTCCCATAGCCAAGCGCTCCATTTTTTGCAGAATCGTTTCCGACATTTTTCGATTGATTTTTCTTATTTTTTTGCTCTTTGGAGCTCTCAGAAAAGTGAAGAATTTCACGGTTTTTTTTTTGGCTTTTATAAGGAAAGCGAGGAAAGATCTAGGGCAAGATAAGGGGGGTCACGTAATAAATTGGATTTTTTTGAAAAATTCTTTCTTCTAGAAGTCGAAAAAAACAAGAAAAATAAGGTCAGTTGATATTTTTAAAAATACTTTTTTTTGAATTTTTTTCAATGAAGTTAGTCTTCAAAACCTAAAAAAAGATGAGATTTTTAAAAATTTTTTTTTTATTTTATTGATTTTTTTTTCTTCTAACTCTTATTTCCGATTTTGCGGAATTTTCAAAATTTTATGAAATTTCATTTAAAGGGGGACTCCGACCAAAAATTTTTATTGCATTAAAATGTGTTAAAAGTGATTTCGAATATTATTGCGAAAAAAATCAAAAAAATCCGAAATTCCCGAAAAACGGCGTTGAAAAGGAAGAAGAGGTGCCGCCGGGGGACGAGGATTTTCAGTGAGAAACCTAGGCCACGGCAGCGGGCGCCTTTCCAACGTGGCAAATTTCCCGGATTTTTTTCAATTTCATGTCCGGCAGGTAAAAAACGTAAAAAACCACTGTCGGCGATTTGAAAAAAGGCTGTCAGGTGCCGTGGCNTAGGTTTCTCACTGAAAATCCTCGTCCCCCGGAGGCACTTTTTTGGATTTTTTTTCCTTTTCCACGGCGTTTTTCGGGGATTTCGAATTTTCTTTGAATTTTTTCGCAATAATATTTGAAAAATAGATGAATTTTAACACATTTTAATGCAAAAAATTTTTGGTCGGAGTCCCCCTTTGAAGGTGGGGACACATGAAAAAAATAACGTTCTCGAAATTTCGTTTAAGTATGCCTCTCGACGAGTTGAACGTGTGGGACGAGGATTGAGGGTGCGGCGCCGCTACTGACTGAGCTACACGGGAAAAGAGAAAGAGGTCACCCGATCGCATACATAAAGGCGAGGACGACAGCTGTACGCAGAGTGACATTAAGCGTTGTACACCGTCACGGTAGAATGCATACTCTGCCCCCAAAAATCCCCCGTAAAATCTCCTGTCCCCCCACCTTTAAAAATTTGATTTTCTGATTTCACAAACTTGTAAGTTTGTACCTTTCTTTCGAGTTTTTGGACTCATTTTTGAGTTCTCTGAAAAACAAAACAAGTTAAAAATGAATAAATTAATTTCACAAGATAAAAATGAAAAGAAAGAATAACAGCAATTTGATGACAATTTTACAGGCAAAATTAGTGGGCGAGGAATGATGGAAATGAGAGAAAATTAACTAAAAAAAAATCAATAACTGATTCTAACCGGAAAGTACTTGAAAAATCACAATTAATTAGAGCAAAATCAGACAACCAGTGTGAAAAAATGATACAAAAAATAAGGAAACAACTAAACAAAATGAACAAAAAAATTAGTAAAATATGATGATAATGAATTTTGGGTCTGATTATTTGGTTCGGGAGATTTTGATTTTCAAATTTCTAAAGTCATTTTTCCTAATTTCAAAATTCAAAAAACCAAAAAATCAATTTTTTAAAAATCCTGCTAGTTATGACACGATTTCTTCGGAGAACTTCGTCCATCACTTGTCGATGGCTCATCCAAAGTTTCTGTATTTCTTCGTTTTCTACTGGCTGTTTTCGGCGGTGACGCAGAGCCATGAGCAATTCTAGGCATCGTCGCCGATTGTGTCCGTCGTCGTGGTGACGTGGAAGGGGAAGAGAATTCTGGATTCTGATGAGATCTTGTGGGGATTTTGAAGACGTTACTGGTTGAAGGCGTCGATGAAGATGGTGTCGGTTCGCTATCGATTTCTTGTTTTTGGCGACGACGATTCTTCGGTTTTGTCGCTTTTCGAGAGGATTTTTTTGTGGGTCGAGCAACGGTGGAGGGATTTCGCCTGGAACTTTTTTTTGTTGGAATTTTTGAATTTCGATTTTTAAAAGTCTTAAAGCTGGTGTGCGGTGAAAATTTTTATCGTTTTATTTTGTGCAGAATTTTATGTAGACTCCCATAAAAATAAAGATAAAATTCGAAAAAAATTCATATTCCTTCATTGAGAAAAACGGCATCGAAAAGTCAAAGTTGTATCTGGTGGCCGAGCGAAACAGCGGGGGTTTTCTAGGCCATTTGCAGGAAAAAGCAAGCGAAATTTGAATTTTTATTGATTTTCAGTGTTTTTTTTCAGAATTTTTCAGTTTGTTAAATATATCTGGAAGAAAATTAACAAAAACCTTTGAAAATCTTTTTGAAAATCTGAAAAAAAAACACTGAAAATCAATAAAAATTCAAATTTCGCTCGCTTTTTCCTGCAAATGGCCTAGAAAACCCCCGCTGTTTCGCTCGGCCCCCAGATACAACTTTGACTTTTCAATGCCGTTTTTCTCAATGAAGAATTTTTTGAATTTTTTCTTTATTTTTATGGGAATCTACATAGAAATCTGCACAGAATGAAACAATAATAATTTTCACCGCACACCGCCTTTAATTTTTGGGAAATCCTCAATTTCGGACAATTTCGAAATTCAGAAGCTTTCAAATTTCAGGATTTTCGAATATCACTTACGTCACTATGTGCACTCCACTTTCTCGCATTTTTTCAGCCATTTCGACCCATTCTTCGTGTGTATCCTCCTCGTCATACGTATCCAATCGCCAATTTCCCATCATTTTATTCTTTTCCTTATAGTAAAAATCGATTAGCGCTTTTGTACTCGACACTTTTTTCATCTGAAAAATATTGATTTTTTTTGGCAGAAAATCGATTTTTTGTACTTTTTCTGGACTCTAAAAATTAAGTGTTCAACAATTCTTCCGAATTTTTGTAAAGATATTCCAGAAATTCACATATTTTTTCATCAAAATTTTCTCAATAGAGCGTACTTACTCACCTGCTGCGCTAAATAAAACTCTTTCATTGGTTTCCGTCGACTTTGATAGTCACTTCGCTCCATCGCAATATTAGCTACTATTATATTTCTGACCGATTCTGGAATTTTCGTGGGTATCTCCATTCCTTGTCCCAATTCTATTGCCGAATCCACGTCATATGAGCAATGAAACAGTACTCGGAGCACCTGCAAGAAGAAAATGCGCTCCGTTGATTTTTTAATTGAAAAGAAGCGAGGGAATAAGAATGCAAGCGCGCTACGTTAGAACAAGTTTCAGAATTCTAAAATTTAAAAAAAAACTTATTTTTAAAAAGGTTCTTTTTTTGAAATCCTCGAAATCGGTTATTCTCCAGAAATTTTTAACATCCCCTTTTTTAGGTCGTCTATGGAGCGCGCTTGCATTCCTTGCCACGTGCCATTCTTGCTCACCACGTCGTCTGGCAAATGGGGCGTGGCCTGTTTCAGACGACTGATATCCTCGTCTTCCAGCTCTCCGGTCGGCGGGCTCATCAGAATTTCTTCACGATCGTTGTCGTGACAAATGCCACGTCGCATTTTTGGAATTTGAGCTAAGGATCTGGAAAATTCTGGATTTTCGAAAAAAAACTTTCAAGAAAATATGCTCAGGGACTAGCGTTTCTTCCAAATAGTCTAGATTTTCCAAAAATCCCAGAAAAATATTCACTCTTTCTTATGGCTCGGATGATAATCGCTATTCGCATTCTGAGCCGATCGTTTCTTCAAAAATCGCCCCTTCGCTGGATCTCCCTGCGTCTCCTCGGCGAGTGATGACACGTCACGAGCACCGCTGCTGCTCGCTCGTGACATGGAATTTTCTAGAAAAAAAAAACCTACTTTAGAACAATTTTTAGGCCAAAAAATTAACAGAAAAAAGAAATAATGTACGAAAAATCGGTGTTGTGAGAGAGAAAAAGAAACAATTTTCATGTTGAGTCAGTGTGAGAGAGAAGTGCGTCCGCGGGCGCCAGGGGAGGCAGTGGAGATAGTGTGTGAATGGGCGACGAGACGCAGAATGAGAAACGGGAGAAGACAAAAATTTTTATTTTGGAGAAGACAGAGACAAAGGAGACGATTTGAATGACGATGAGATGGCTGAAGAGATCGGAATGATTCTGCACAGAGAGATCTGGAAAATCGTAGTTGTTTTTATGACGAATTTGCTTATTTTTCTGGAAAATTTTTTGAGAGGATTTTCAAGTGAAACATTTTTTGCTTTTTCGACATTAATTTTGTTCAAAAAATGGTAAAAATCTGTGAAATTTAACCTGAAAATTATTAAAAATTGGTGGAAAAATCGTGGCCAGACTACGGTCAACAAAAAAGTTCACTAGCGGTGTTTGCGGACTTGACTACCGTAGCCGTCTTGAAAAAAAGTTGGAAAACAAAGATTTTTGTCCCAAAAAATTTCAACTTTCAGGTAGTTTTTACAGAGATTCGTTATCTAAATCGTCTGAAAAAAATTAAAAATTGAAGAAAAAAAATTTTCAGCCAAAAAATGGCAACTCCAGTTGCCGCGATCAACGAATACGAGAGCAAGATTAAATTGCTTTATCTGCAGCAAATAGAGGTGGATCGTGCGTCGAAGCATAGTCTGAAATGGTGAAAATTGATTTTTAAGCCTAAAAATTCCAGAAAAATCTGAAAGAAGGTCGATTTTCTGACCATAAAATCAGATTTTCTGGTCAGGAAAAAAACTTTTAAAAAAACGTTTTTTGACCTAAAAATCATACATAAAATTCGAAAAAATATGGATTTTTGACCGGAAAACAAGATTTCGTGTCAAGAAAATTTGAAAAAAAATTTCTTTTCACTAAAAAATCAATATTCTCAGGGTGGTCCTCGGTGGGTTCACGATGCAATCACCACCAAACGAAGCGCTTCCCCTGGTGATGCTCTCCTGGTTTTTCGAGTGCGACGAGGTCAAAAATCAGGGATTCGACGGTTTAACAGGCCGAATCACCGTTCAAGTCAACAACGGAACCACGTGGACCAACTCGGCGATCGATTGCGATTTGACTCGATCTGTTCATGACGTCCGACTGAATATCGATATTCCACCGTTCGCCGGACCCCTTCAAGCCCTTCAAATGCGCTATCAATTCAATTTAATACCCTACTCGAATATTCTACCCGAAATCCATATAGATCCAATCTTTAAAGCGTCCGATAAAACTGATGCGATTTTGCTGGTTGACGGGATGAAATTGCATGTTAATAAATCGGTAAAAATTGGTTTTTTCTCGAAAATTCGAAAAATCGATTTTCAGTACCTGGCGATGCATTCGGACTTCTTTCAAAGTTTGTTCATGGGAAATTTCGCTGAAAATTCGATGGAAGAGATTCCTATCAAAGACGTCAGCTATCAGGATTTTCACTCGCTTCTGAAGGTTGTCTATCCGAGACCAGAATTTCCGAATGGTGAGAGAAAGAATTGTGATTTAGAAGTTTTGAGATTCAATTTCTTTTCCAAAATTCAACTGAATTTCTTTTCAGACAAAAAATGCGAGAAGCTTCTAGAACTAGCCGATCGTTTCTTGATGCCAGGCGTCACCGACCACGTCGAACAACACCTTCTAACCAACACTCAACTGGAAAACGATCGTTGTCTCTGGATGGCCGATCGATATTCACTTCAGAAGCTTCGAGAACACTGTATCTCGAGAATCCAATGCTCTCAAGACCTCACAATCATCAGAAATTCGCCAGTGTTCTGTGAATATTCCGATTTCACAAAGGCCAGAATTCTGGAGAAAATCATTGATAAAGTGGAATGGGACGAGTTCAAAAGGGAGTGTTTGGATCATCATCACTCGATGATTCGTCGTTCGAATGGCGTCGGACAAATTGACTATAAACGAGTTCGATTTCAATAAATGATTTTTTTACGGTTTTTTTAATTTTAAAAATCCATTTATTTTTTGTAACTTTCACCCTTCAAAATAAGTGGAAAATTATCGTTGAAAATTCCACTTTTTTCAATCTGTTCACCCAGTTTTATCGATTTTCTTGTAGCCTGTCATTAACCGATTCACCCAGAGCTTGCATTGTATTTGTTTTATTTTTTAATCAAAATTTCTAAAAATTGTTAATTTTCACCAACGCCTTCTTTTTCATCACTTCCACGTCATCTGCCATCTTCCTCAAACTCATCTGAATTTCCTCAACGTCTCCGATTAGTTTAACGTTGTAGTTCCATGTAGAATTTGATTCTGTGCATTTTTCCAAGTGGAATTTGCCGGAAAACGGACTGAACCATTGATTTCGAGCTGTTGGAATGGGTCTAGAAATTTCGCAAAAATTTTTTTAAAAAGTCGAAACTTTGAAAAGAACTTTTTCAAACGAGAAAATAATTTTCAGAACCAAGATTTCAAAAATCTGAAAATTTCGAAAAAAACTAACTTCAAGACCCAATTAGGTGTCTCGCGTAGCTGCGACATCTTCCAGCCATGCAGCATGAAATCCACGTGGAGACTCCATTGACTATTCGTTATCCAGCCATCTCGGACCCAGGATTCTCCTTTTTGCAGAATTTTGATTTTTTGGACATTTCGATTTTCAGTTTTTTCCTGAATATTCCAAATGCAGGCTTCGGAAATGAACAAGTCTTCGAAACTTTTGGAATTTTCGAAAATTTTGAGACAAATTCTGGAATCCAGTCGAAGTTTTTGGGCCAGGAAGAGCTGAAAATTGTAGGATTACAAAAAAAAATCTGAAAATTTAATGATTTTTTTTGAATTTCAGTTTTTTGAAAATCAGAAAACTTTCAAGTTTTCAGATGTTTTTCAGATTTTTAAGAATAATAGATTTCGAAATTTTTAGATTTTTTGAAATGTTCAGATTTATTAATTTTTTGATTTTCAGAATTTTGCGGAGATTTCAGTTTCAGAGAATTTTTGAATTTTAAAATTTTTTCTGAATTTTTCAGATTTTTGAAAAAAAAATTATTTTGAATTATCAAAAAAAATAATTTTTTGGGAATTTCGAAAATTTTTCTGAAAATGTTCGGTTTTTCTTTAATTTTCCAATTTTTTAAAAATTTCAGATTCTGAAAATAAATTAATTTCAAAAAATTTTTGAATTACATGAATAGCGCCATTATCTGAGCCGTGAATTGTGCCATTCGGAAACTTCGACTCAAAACTGGCGAATTCTGAAATTTTCGAAAATGATGACCTAGAAAATTTGGCTGGAATTTTCTAGGTCACCTTTCAGAAATTCAACAGCAAAGTTCGTGCTCCGTGCGAGATAACTTCCTGTTGCGATTTCCCAATTTTGAAATCGATCATAGAAAATTAAATCCACAGAATCTTCTAGAAAATTCTCAATTTTTCGATTCGGATTCACGACGCCGATATCGGCGTCCAGGAACAGAACGATATCGTATAGCTGGATTACGGTAGCTGTTAAGCAGTGACGGCGGAATAGAAACTGAAAAAACAGGACTTTTCAGAATAGAGGTCCAGACCAGGACATTTCGAAACCGGCCATTTCGGAACCAGACATTTTAGAACTTTTGGAATTGCCGTGTTTTTCTGGAAATTTTGGGCTGGGAAAAGCTTAAATTTTCAGATTTTTTCGGAAATATTTTTAGTAAGTATTTTTCGTAATCAGACGTTTTAGGACAGGTACGAAATGACCAGTTCTAAAACGTCTGGTTTCGAAACTACCAGTTTCAGAACGTCCGGTATAAAAATGGTAAGTTGCAAATATTCAAAACGTCTGGTTGCGAAATGGTCCCTAGAAAAACACTCACCTCATTTTGCTGACAGGCTTCATTTGGTCCGGTATCTCTAATCAGAATAAATTGGTATCCATGAATCCTGGCATAGCATTTTACACTATCTGTTAAAGAAATATTTCGTGGTTTAACTTTTTATTAACAATCTGGTTTTCTCGGCTATTACTCTAACGATAAGCGTTATCAAAGCATGCGAAAAAATTTGGTGGCCTAACTGTTTCAAAATCCTGTTTTCTAGGCCACCAAACTCACCCAACGATATTCGATATTCTTCAAGATCTGTCCCATTTGAGACAACCACCAAAATCGCGACTTTTGGATTTTTATGTCTTATCAATTGATAGAATAAAATAGTGAAACAGATTAAAAGAAATATCCTCAGGATTTTTGAATTTCTGAATTTACGAAAATTTAGCATTTTTAATGCTCATTATGAAATGGGAAACAGAAAATTTAAACACAATTTTTGAAGAGAAAGAAGCATTTTTATGGCTTTAATTTGGGCTCGATACAATATTTTTGTACTGATAAGAAGAGAAAAATTGTGATCAAAAGAACAGGGAAACTGTAAAAAGCAAAGTTTTCTAGAATTTTTTGATTTGTCTGAAAATTTAAGAGTATGCTAAACAAAAATAAAACTCGATAGAATTCCAGAAATTTTGAAAATCAATTCAAAAATCGAGAAGAATTTTTAAAAATTAGGTAATTCGAAAATTCAAAATTCCAAGAGGTCCATAAATGCCGAAAACTCTAAAAAATCTAAAAACTTGAAACTTTAAAAATTCAAGAAATCAGAGCTCAGGAAACGAAAATTCCAAAAATTCTAATTATCAAAGATCAGAACAGCTCTAATTTTGTCAAATATAGAACTTTTCAGACAAATCGCAAAATTCTGGAACACTTTTTGAGGTCTTCATAGCTCGTCATTTTTACAGAAAATAATAAAGACTTTTTTAGAATTGTGTCGCTCGCTTTAGAACAGTAGACTATTCGAGTTTATTAAATTTTTTGAAATTCAAAATTATTTGGAACATTAAATAAACACATTTTGTTCATAACACAATTAGAAGAGATCAAAATGTTCAACATCGGCTCATTCTTTCCTGACAATCTTCAAAGCCTTACTCGCGATCTTCGAAAGGGATTCCATTCTCTCCAGTGGCAATTTCCGGATCTCCTCTGACGTAAAGTGGTTACAGATCCACAGGGAATTGCCTGTCAGCGTGCTCTCAAGAGTGTTGATTATCTCCTCTGCCTGCTCCAATCGATTGGCCATTTTCAGTAATGCCTCGGTGGTGTTAATTGAGTCGAAATCCGATGTGGGTTTGGGAGAAGTACAATCCCTCATGGTCATTCTTTTTTGAAATCTTTCCTTTTGGATTTGTCGACGAGAGTTCATCAGCTTCTGGCCCTTGACAAGTTCCATATTCTTTTCGTAGAGTTGTTGTTCCTTCTTCTGGAGCAGGTGTTCCAGATCATGTACTCGTTGTTGGAGAGAGTAGGTCGTCTCATCGTCGGATGCTTGCACTTTTTCTAGGCTTGGAGAGGAAGAATTGGACATGCTTAGTCTGAAAATTGGCATGGTGTGAGTTTATAAAAATTGAAATCTTGATAAGCGGGAATGCAAAGTTTTAAGGAACATAAGTTAATGCGATTAGGGTAGAGGTAAGTGTGCTCCAGTGGGATTTTTCAGGAAATGGCTACTGTATCCAGAACAAGAAATATCAATAGAGCCCACTTACCTTTAGGAATGAAAATATAAAAAGAACAACAAATTAAGTAAGTATAGCTAAGTAAGTAACTTTCTCCGTTTATACACGATTTTATGGTGGTCCACCTGGTTTTCTGGTCCAGGTGGGCTATCGGAAAGGCGGGATAGGAAGACGTGGAGCGAGTAATGACAATGTGAAGACGGTTGACCCACTTTAACCGTACTTCTTCTGGGAATGGCTACTTCAACTTGAATTATCCCGGTTACTAAAAGAGATATCAAAAAGTTGTCAACTGATAACATACTTTTAATGAGTTTTTGCACATTTTTTTAGTGAACAACTTTTTGATATTCCTTCTAGGATAATAGAGTATTCTCGGATCACTTCGCGGCGGGAATAGACTCTTTTGAGCTTACGCTTGGTGTATAAAAGTGGTATCAAACATCTGTACAGTATAAAAATGCTTGTGATAAAATTTTACACATTTTGTTAGTTAGCAACTTTTTCATTCTCTTCTCGAAACAAAGATTATTAGGGTTAAAGTAAGCCTACCAGCAATCTCAAAGAAACTACCTTGACGGCAGTCTCTTCGTCTTGAATTATCTCAATTACTAAATAAGGTATCAAAAAGTTGTCAACTGATAAAATGCGTAAAAAATTTTATCACACACATTTTAGCTGCTAACAACTTTTGAATACCTCTTCTAGGAACCGAGATAATTCAATTCAAAGCAATAAGAACAAAAATTATCACTGGAGCGCACTTACCTCTAGGAATGAAAAGGATGAAAATTAGAGAATAAAAACAAGACAATGAGAAATTATAATAACCAATAGTAACTTTCCCTTTTTATACACAATTTGATGATGGTCCACCTGGTTTAAAGGTCCAGGTGGGCTATCGGAAAGGCGGGATAGGAAGACGTGGAGCGAGTAATGACGATGTGAAGACGGTTGACCCACTTTGACTCCAATTATCTAGGTTATGTAACAGATATCAAAACGTTACTAATTCACAAAATGTGCAAGATTTCATTACAATGTTTTGTTAGTTGACAACTTTTTGATATATTTCTTATTGTCCGCGATAAAGGAGATAAAAATCATACATAGTACCGTATGACCTCATTTTCCTTAGTATGTTTTTTATCAGTAAGTATTTTGAATGTTGCCAGAAAATATTTAAAAAAAAAATCATTTATTGAATTTTACAAAAATTCATAGATCAACACCATTATACGCACAGGAGAAATGAAAAGAATCCTCAAATTCCTTTCTTAGTTTTCTCTCTCCGTCCATAGAAGGACAGTCCAATGAGAGCACAGGAGACCATGACACAAAGAGTTCCAAATACAAAGGTCCATAATTTGTAGTACCATCCGTCACACTGTCGAGTAGTAAAATGATTGTCAGTGTAGAAGACGGGACGGTTTTTGTCGGACGCCATGAATAGGGTGTAGTGTTCGCTCTGGAAGAGATCAACCATTTCAGTTTGATAGTTAATTAGAGTCTAACCCCGGATATTACCCCTAGAAGCGGAGTACTGTTTTTTTGAAAACAGTTATCTTGGTTCCTAAAAGAGATATCAAAAATTGTTAACTAACAAAATTTCAATACCCCTTTCAGGAATGACAATTTTCGATACCCTTTTTAGGAATCGAGATAATTCAAGTTAAAGTGATTGTCCTGAAAGTTCTCAATGGAGCGCTCTTACCTCTGTCATAGCCGCTGGCCAGTTGTCCGTTAACCAATACGTGATGTTACTTCCAGTCGAGACATGTCCAAGCCTTGCTCCAATTGCTAATCTCAATCCCCGATTGTTTCTGATAACCAAAGCTGGTGACTCAGCAGCATGAATAGTTTGAAGATTCTGGAGATTCACAGAATCTCCGAGATTCGTGGTATTTACGATGAATAAGGATCCATAGAGCTCCTCAATGGTCCAGTAGTTAGACATTCGTTTTCCACCATCTGAAACAACATTTAAAATTGATTTTTTTTGAGATTTTTTGAGTTAGGAAAGTTCTAGAAAAACTCACTCAAATTGGCAATGACAATATCTCCGAACACTTTTGTGCATGGTTTTTCGGTGAGACCTCCAATGTCCAAATCGTCGTAAACCGACAGTTCGGTGCCATTGCAAATGGTCTCGGCGGCGGAAATTCGGGTGAAAATTGCAAAAACCGATATGATTGCCAAGGAGGTTTGTACTGGAAAAGGTTTTTTTTAAAATTAGATTTTTAGGAAAGTTGGATTTTTTCAAAAGTTTGGAACAAAACAATTTCTGCAACTTTAAGATTTTATTAGAATTTCAGAATGCCAAAATTTCAGAATTTTAGAATTTCAGTATTTCAGAATTTCAGAATTTCAGAATTTCAGAATTTCAGAACTTCAGAATTTCAAAATATCAGAACTTCAGAATTTCAGAATTTCAGAATTTCAGAATTTCAGAATTTCAGAATTTCAGAATTTCAGAATTTCAGAATTTCCGAATTTCAGAATTTCAGAATTTCAGAATTTCAGAATTTCAGAATTTTAGAATCTCAGAATCTCAAAAAAAAAGTATTTCAGAAAGTTGGAATTTCAAAGTTTCTGAATTTCAGAATTTCTTGGAATATCCGAAATTTTCGTAATTCTGAAATTCTTAATTCAAACCTTTCAAACGCATTGTTCCTTGCTTTTTACTTTTTGTTGGGGTCCAAAGCAACTGGTTGAAATTTTCTAGAATTTCAAAACTACAGTTTTCCAAATTTATCCTCGTGGCATTTTTCGTGGATTCCACATTTTTCTTAGACATGGATTTTATATATGCCAGAAGCTAGTTTTGATTTATTTCCGCTTCACGTAAAAACTCTGGATTTTGAAATTCAACGGCGCATACAGTAATCCAAAAAGTATATGTTGAAACTAGAGAATAAAAACATGATCTTTGAAGTTTGTGCTTAAATTATCATCTTTATTTTTTCTAACTTCACAATTTTGTCACCTGAAAATTTTCTCGAGCGGAAATTTTTTTTTCATCTACAACGCTCCTACAAAAAATTATATTTTTCCGTGCTGACAAAAATAATTTTATGATTGCTCATTTTTCCAGGAAAAAAAATGAGTGGGTTATTGTACCTAAACTGGTAGAGAAATTTGTTATTCTGGAATTTTTCCTTGATTTCTTAAACCCAAAATTTTCATTCTGAAATGGCCGAGATTGTGGCATTTATCACATTTGCAGTGAGTTTTCAAATTCAAAGTTTAAAAATAAATAAAAATAAAAATTTTCCGGTTATGACATTCGGGGTTTTTGCCAATTTGTTGGTGCTTTTGGCTTCGAAAAAAATGGGATCAATGAATAGTTCCTTCGGGATGATCACAAAGAATCAGGCAATTTTGAATATGACCATGTGTCTGATTTATGTAATTTTTGTGTGTCCAATGCAGTTGAGGTGAGCAGGCTTTTTGGTTTTTTTCGATTTTTGTTTTTTTTTTTAATTTTTAAATTTTTGAAAAGTCATTTTTCAGAATCTCAGAATCTCAGAATCTCAGAATCTTGAACTTAGGGTTCTCTTGGATATCCCGATTTTTTTGTGGAAATTCCAAATTTCCTTTTTTTCACAATCAGATATTTTCTCTTTTCCTTCCAAAAACCCCTATCCCCAATTTTCAGCCCCAGCAATCCACTAATTCCCCATTCCCATTATCTGGGTCTAATTGCAATGACAATTTATGAAATCTCCAATCAACTTCATCTCCTTTTGGCTCTGAATCGCCTTTGTGCAGTTTTTTGGACCTTTCGCTACGATCAAATTTTCACAAAATCCAAGACGACAATGTTCGAAAATTTCGCTTTTTTAACTTCCGTTTTCATGTGTTTGCTATTTTACGAATTCCTCGGATGCCATTTTTCATATAGCAGTTCCACCTGGACCTTTGTATTTTTTGACAGTTCAGAATGTTCGAGAATCACATGGTATTCGGATTTTATTTTTAATATTTGTATGGTTGCATTAACATTATTTATCAATTTGCTGACTGCTTACAAAGCTGGAAGGGATAGTCGAGTCCTGTTGAGCGCTGCAGGAGTTCAAATGTCGAAAGAGCAGCGGCAAAGGGAGAAGAGTTTTATAAAACAATCATTCTTCCAAGGAGCTGCAATTTTTGCTGGTCAAGTCACATATTATGTCACTGCACCGTTTTTGACCGACTATAGTGTTTTGCTATTTTTGGACTCTAGTCTATGGGCATTCATGCATGCGTTTGAGGGGTAAGTCAGAAAAAGGTGATTTGGTTTTTTGTTATTTTGATGGGGAAGAGATATCATTGTTGTCTTGGTTGGCCCGGTCGGTCCTGGGTAGTTGATTTTTAAAAATTTTGGCATCTATCTGACTAGGGAAGGCCCCAACTCGGGTGTGGCGATACGCATGGTGACCTATATCATCTGAAAGCTGACATTCTCCTGATTCCAAATCTGTTTTTAAAAAGTGCATTGTCGCGGTAGTTTTCGAGAAAACTGGGTCGGAAGTTTTGAAAAAATACGTGGATTTTAAATACAATTTTTCTCCATCACGTATATAAGTTTTTGAGTGTTGAAAAAATGTGGAAGCGTGGTCGAATAGTTAGTGATGAGGAATATTGAGCGGGTACTCTCTGGTTTGACTCCCTCGACCTGCTAAACTTTTTTTGAATTTTTTTATTATTTTTCCGGTGATTGTATCGGACTTCTGGATGATGTTAAAGGTCATGAAATCTTGTGAAAAGTCTTATTTTATTGTTTCTCTGCGTTTAGAACGTATTTTAGGACATTAAAATTTTTTCGAAAATTTGTAAAAAATCCAAGGGGGTACCCCAAGGCGATTTTTACAAAAAATAAATTTCGAAAAAAAAATGTAAAAGAACTTTCAGGTTATAAAGAAACATTCAAAATGAAAATTGAATTAAAAAAAACCCCCCAGGAATGAAGCCATCAACTCCTTCAAAACTCATTTCAAAAACTAGGAGTATGTACTGAAATCACTTTCAGAGCTCATAATTGTCTTCAAATGGCCAATTTGAAGAAAATAACTTTGGTACTGTAATCAGCGTTTTTAAAAGTACTAATGTCCAAATGTAGAGAGAAATCATAAACAAGTGGTTTGCCTAGAATCTCCAATAGATCAACCTTTGAAAATTGCTAAAGCCTAACTATAAGCTAGCCGGAGAAGCCAAAGTAATCAAAGTTATTTACTTCACATTGAAGACAACTATGAGCTCTGAAAGTGATTTCAGTACATGTTTAACTTTTTTGGACGGAGTTTTCAAAAGAGTACATGGAATCGGGATTTCTGACTGTATCTTGTATTTCGAATGTTTCTCTATAATCTGAAAGTTTTTCGAATTTTTGTTTCGAAAATTTTTGTTTTTGAAAAAATCGCCTTGGGGTACCCCCTTGGATTTTTTACAAATTTTCGAAAAATTTTTAATGTCCTAAAATACATTCTAAACGCAGAGAAACAATAAAATAAGCTTTCCCTAGTGGGTTGACAGGCCCCATGAAATTTCGGGGTCCCATAAACACCGGTAACTATTTATGGGATTGGGATCTGTCAATTTGTACAAGACCTTTGAACTCCTATAAAACCTTTAAACCGCCATGGGATCAGTAAACTCAAATCATACTTAAAACAAATAGATCGGGTTGAGCTTTCTTCAGAAGTTTCGAACCTCACGAAAATTTTCTGAAATTCCAAACTTGCAGTAATGTCAAAGATTTTTTCAATATTGAAAAACCATGACCCACCGGCCCGGGTCCTGAAAATGTTCGGCTTGTGGACCGGGCAGTGATTTTCCCCGTAAGAATACATTTTCAAAATTGCAGCGCAATAATTCTGGCGTCTAACCAAGAGATGTTGTCTGTTATGAAAAAGAAGAGACGTAAGTTCTTAAATTTTCAGAACAATTTTTTTTTCACAACAGTGATCATTTCATTTTTTCAGAATCCATCGTTTCGGCCTTCGTGCTGATGTTCTAGAGATTGTAATCTTCTAAACTAACTTTTTTTGTTCAATCATAATAAATCAATTTTTTTTGTTGTATTTCATAGATATTAGTAAGACTTTTCCCGTTAAAATTTAAAAAAACAAGAAAAACAAAATCTAGAAAAATTGTTCCAGATCAAAGCGAGCGTGTTTATGATGTGGACCTTCTTATCGTATCTGGGTATTTAAAAATCAAATGACATCCTTTCAAATGCACTAAAAATTATTCAAAACGGATCAATTTGAGCTGATTCATAGCGTTTCGAAGTTCCAAGAGGCGCAAACGAGCAGGTACAAAATAACAGCTGAATGTGAGCTACGCGGTCTCATATTTTTTGAAAAACCATGGCGTACACCGTCACAAAAAACTCTCCCCGTCTCCTCCATCAAAATTCTTCTGTCGAAACAAGCATCTCGGTGATCTTGTTACACATAAAAGAATTCACTAAGATTTCGGCACCAAGCGAGATATAAAATCCCGATAAGTAGTCCAAGCCATATACAATTTTTCAAACGGCATGATTTTTTGGGTTTTGAGATTTTAGGTGTTTTTGCGTTTTGCGTTTTTGCGTTGCGGTGTAGAGTGAACATGCGACGGGGAATGCCGAGTATTTGAAAATCAGAAACCTCCCAAAATTGGCTCTAGTATGAAATTCTGGTCCTTAAAAAAAATTCTGGTCCTTAGAAAAAATTCTGGTCCTTAAAAAAAATTCTGGTCCTTAAAAAAAATTCTGGTCCTTAAAAAAAATTCTGGTCCTTAAAAAATTCTGGTCCTTAAAAAAAAATTCTGGTCCTTAAAAAAAAATTCTGGTCCTTAAAAAAAAATTCTGGTCCTTAAAAAAAATTCTGGTCCTTGAAGAAAGATGTGGGTATTTGAATAGCTTTCATGTTTTTGTTTGAAAATTTGGTTAGATTGAAACGTTTATTTATTCCAATCATGTTTTCAATAGTTTTGATGTTTTAAAAATAATTTTTTTTTGTAATTTTGATTTTTATTCAGAAGAAGGTATAAGACTAAAAGGTGTGGCATATAAGAATTAGAGAGGATAAATAGTTCAGAACACAAAAAAAGAATATCGGTTGCAACAAGATGATCTTATCCGCGTCCTTTGAACTTCCTTCGGCCGGTGAACGTGGATTTTAGAGTAGTGGTTGTGAATCTTGGAGTAATGGTAGTAGATCTTGGAGTGGTGGTAGTGGGCCGCCCGCGTCTTCTTCTATCATTCCGAGTCTTCTGAGTGGTGATGGTTGTTTGTCTCGTTTCAGGGGCAGACGTCGTCCGTTTCGTACGAGGTTCTGTCGTGGTTCGTCTCGACTGATGGGAAGTTGTTCGTCTTGTTCTCATGGTGGTCGTGGTCCTCATGGTTGCTGTGGTTGTGATGGTGGTTGTAGGATCAGCTTTTCGACTTTGTGTCTTCTTCCGAGGTTTTCGAGTTTTGGTCGTCGTTTGCCTTGGTGTAGTTGACGAAATTGGTCTGTTGGTTTTGATAATCATTTCTGGCTTAGAAGAGGTGGTGGTTCTCATTGTAGAAGCGGTAGAAGAACTTCGACGTTCGTTTCTATTTCGATTCAAACGAGCAGCCATTGTGGTTTGTCTTGTTGAAAATGTAAAGGCGCGATTGTTTCTTTCATTTCGTTGTTTGGGAGCAAATGAAACTCTATCAGAATCGAACTGTTTTCTTTTTCTGAAGATTTTCGTGGTCGGTGCTTCAGTCAATTGATCTTCCTCTTCCTGTTCATCTTCGTACTCATCTTCCTGATGATCCTCTTTTTGTCTCTCATCCTCGCCTTCTCCCTCCTGCTCTCCGTTTTGCTCTT